AAGAAGATCGGTAGGAGAGAAACTGGGGTCTCAGAGCTTCAATGAGATGGGAGTCCGAGCCGGGTGGTTGTTCCTCAAGGAGACGATCCTCCGAGCTAAAAGGGAGTCAGTCCCAATGCGCACCAAGGGGGGCAGAAGTGCTAAGAAACCCCCATGACTCGCCAAAAGCATCCAGAGATGCCCAAGGGCAAAAAAGGAGGTGTACAAACAGTGGAAGCAAGGGGCTATCACACCTCCATTGCTCAGGACTGCAGGGAGGCTGTTAGGAAGGCTAAGGCAGAGGTGGAGCAGCTAGGGCTAGTGACCAGAATTAAGGATAATAAAAAGTCCTTTTTCAAATGCATAGGAAGTAAAAAGAGGGTAACATGGGGCCCTTACAGGATAGGCTTGGCAATCTGGTGATTGTGGCAAACAAAAAAGCTGACCTCTTTAACGAATTCTTTGCCTCCATATTCCTGAACAGGGATCGGGACATCTCCCCCACTAGAACTGAGGACAGACCAAGGAGAGGCACTGCCATGCCTAGGGTCAGGGACGACCCAATTAGGGAACTTTTGGAGGGGCTGGACATGTTTAAATCAGTAGGTCCAGATGCTCTTCACCCGAGGGTGCCGAGGGAATTGACAGGGGTCATACCAGGCCCCCTGGCACGGCTCTATGAGTGCTCATGGGACACTGGCCAGGTACCAGAGGATTGGAAAAGGGCCAACGTGGTCCCCATTTACAAGAAGGGGAGAAAAGACGACCCGGGCAATTATAGGCCAGTCAGTTTTACCTCATGTCCTTGGGAAGACCTTTGAGAAAGTCATCAAGGACTATACCTCCAAGGGCCCAGCAGGGGAGGTAATACTCAGGGGCAACCAACATGGGTTCACTGAGGGCAAATCCTGCCTGATTAACCTGGTTTCTTTTTATGATCAGATCATGAAGTCCCTGGATGAGGGTGTCAGGGTGGATGTCATCTTCCTGGACTTTAAGAAGGCCTTTGACATAGTTTCCCACCACACGCTCCTAAAAAAACTTGGTGACTGTGGCACTGATGCCTACACAGTCAGATGGGTGACAAATTGGCAGATGGTCGCACCCAGAGAGTGGTGGTGGACGGGTTGTTTTCGACCTGGAGGGATGTAGACAGTGGAGTCCCCCAGGGCTCAGTCCTGGGTCCTGTACTGTTCAACATCTTTATCAGCAATCTGGATGTGGGTATGGAATGCACACTGTCCAAATTCGCTGATGACACCAAGTTGTGGGGCGAGGTAGGGACACTGGAGGGGAGGCACAGAATCCAGCTAGATCTAGACAGGTTACAGAGGTGGGTGGATGAGAATAAGATGGAATTTAACACAGACAAGTGCAAGGTACTGCGTATCTAGGGAGAAGGGACCAGTAACACACCTATAGGCTGGAGAACACCCTTCTTGTCAAAATGGTGGCAGAAAGAGATCTTGGAATCATTGTCTGACTCCAGGATAAGCATGAGCCGCCAATGCGAGGAAGCGGCCAGTAAGGCTAACCGCACCTTGTCATGCATCTACAGATGCATCACAAGCAGGTCCAGGGAAGTGATCCTTCCCCTCTGTGTGGCATTGGTCAGGCCACAGTTGGACTACTGTATCCAGTTCTGGGCACCGCACTTCAAGAGGAATGGGGCTAACATTGAGAGGGACCAGAGGAAGGCCACTCACATGGTCAAGAGACAGCAGGGTAGGCCCTACCAAGAGAGGCTAAAGGGCCTAAACGTATTCAGCCTCCACAAGAGAAGGCTGAGAGGGGATCTGGTGGCTATTTACAAACTCATCAGGGGAGACGAGCAGGAATTGGTGAAAGCTCTGTTCCCCCGGGCACCACCCAGGGGAACTAGGAATATGGCCACAAATTGTTAGAGAGAAGGTTCAGGCTGGACATCAGGAAACATTACTTTACGGTTAGGGCTGCCAGGCTCTGGAATGGGCTCCCAAGTGATGCGGTGCTCTCTCCTACCTTGGGGGTCTTCAAGAGGAGGCTGGACAGATATTTGGCTGGGGTGATATGATCCCAGCACCCGTTCCTGCCTGGGGCAAGGGTTCGGACCTGATGATGTGTTTAGGTCCCTTCCAACCCTAAGTGCTATGATACTAAGCTTTTAAAATTAAAGCCACTGGATAAAATACTTTTATTCCTTGAAGCAGGATTTTAAGCCAGGTTTCTGTTCTCACCAGGTAACCACTAGGGACAGTGTGAGCATGACTGCCTTTCTGACCTAACGAAATGCCATTTCTTCTTAAAGAACCTGAAACAGCTCCCACAGCAAGAGTACCCTCAACACAGAATAGCCTCCAGTGTGGTTGCCAAGTCATCCTCTCAACAGGCAAGAGATGTAGGCTTGAGACAGCAGGAAACTACACTCAGGTCTTTCACATTCTGAATTACTGTTTTAACCACTATGGGATATTTAAAAGAGAGACTTCTTCCCCTCTCTGTTCTTTAGACAGAGCCCAGTCATAAGGCCTCCCCTTACCTACCTTTTGTGTTCAAATCACTCCATTCTATTTGGAAGCTCTTCTCCCTGCAGTCCCTCCATAGCATCTGATGAAGTAAGCTGTTGCTGATGAAAACTGTATGCATGTCTGATTTAGTCTAATAGTGCAACTTTGCCTTCTGCGTACCTTGCCTTCTGCTTAGAGCATGCCTCATGGATCAGGCTTCCCCTGACAAGATAGGGGAAGGACCAAAGGACCACACAATTGATAGATATCAATATGGGTTAGGAATACATTAGAAGCTCAGCATCATGAGGACAGAGACAGTGCAGGAACGCCCAGATGTAGACCTTTAAACACAAAGGGAACATTGATGCCTCTCGGGTTAGGCAGTGGCTCAGTGGGAGTTCTCAGGATAACTATTTTGGATGCTGGCACCCACATACTGGAAGTTCGAGAGTATTTCAGCAATAAAAGATTTTTTGTGGCATTACCCCTTTGAACTTTATTTGCTAGGCTTCTGAAATGCTTTTACAATAAAATTGATTACATCTATTTTACACCTATTAAAACTACATCTTAGCATTTGGGGAAAGATATACTAGAAATAAACTCTCAAATTACTTGTTATTATTCTCCAGTGCATATTTACTCAACTTCATTAGCAGGCTGCAGCTTACTACTTCATGGACACAATCAATACTGCTGTATACCAGAAAGCGGGCATAGTACAAGTACGACAAATGGGAAAAAAGAAAAATCAGTTAAGTAAGAAAAATAACTATATTACTTTTATCAAGACAATTCATTACTGCTTGTCCATGCTTTTTCAAAAGCATAAAAAGCTAAATCTTGCACAATTAGTGTAGTATTAGGATATATATAAAAATATCTACACACACACATATACACACACACATACATACATTTAAAGGTTTCAGTGCAAGACTAGAGGTAGCAAAAGCTCAGTATAAGAAAGTATTCTCACATAGGAACAAGTTTGTATCAGATATCAACGTGTCCTATATGTGTACTATAACAACTGCACATTAGGACATATGTTGTTGGTTGCAGGGCCTACAAGTTCAGGAGCCAGGG